ACGTACGACGTACGACGACGTAACGTAGTAGTAGTAGTGTGTGTGTTGGGGGGGGGGGGGTATATATATACAGATTCTTCTGCTTATTTGTTTTTTTGCTGCCATCTGATCCAATTTTATGTTTTCTTTATTTTGGATTTGTGTTCTCCATGGCTTTGTTTGAGGCAAACCAGTTTTATTGTAATCTTTGCATGCATTTTGATGTTGCTCTTTGATCCAGATCATTGCAGCAGGGATTCTCCAATAAAAGATTGAGACCCGAGTATTCTCGGGGTATGCAGCGACTACCATCTTCTGGTAGATTCCCAAAGAACACTTCTGCTATGCCATGAACTGTATATAAAGAAATCTTGACCTCCGCTTGTACATCAACTGCATGGAGATTGTAAACCTGGGAATGTATGTCACTGTGATTTGTGAAGCCAATTGGGATCTTTACCACGAATCGCTCTCCTTGCTGTTCCAGCTCAACTATATCCGGATGCACTCCCACAACAGAAGCAAGTCTCTGGACTTGCAGAGCAAATTGAATCCACCTCTTGGGAGCCCAGCTAGGTGGATTCTCTACCCTTTGCAAGCAGATCAAATCTGTAAAGTGTGGATGTCCTGTGATTTTCCACGGGGATTCTGACCCTGAGATTCGAAACCAACTTAGAGCTTGGAATGAGGTCCACTTCATAAGCCACATACTTGGGGTACATTTGGATAGGCAAAATAGTGGTGGGATGTAAAGTTGTAATGGCTATGCCCAATGGGTTTTCTGGAGGACACTTCAATTTTGACAATTTCATAGCTAATTGAGGGTACCTTTTCTTTTCTTTTTCGGGCGTCTCTCAATACCAAATAGGATAAGCGGAAAATTTTGTGAAGCTATAATTAGCTTATTGTAGTCTATTTTTTGCATTTTTCTTTAGTCCTGAGATACAATTTACTGTCCAATGTAACCCTGGATAACTGATCAATACATCTTTTAATTTCTTATTCAGAGTCTCCCCCAATTGTGATATTTTGGCGGGGCAAAGCAAAAGGTGAATCTTGAACAAAAGCAAAGTCAATTGAGACTGAAAATGCAACAAACTTGTTTTAAATATTTTGCGTTTCGACTTCTGGAGATATATTCCATATGCAGAGAAGAGGAAAAGAAGGAAACGAATGATGAAGAATGAAGAGGAAATAAATAAAATGGGACTATGGGAGTGGAACTGAAAGAGGTGAAACCGAAGGTTATTTTGGATAAAAGTGTCTTTTAAAATCCGATTTTCTTTTTTGTTCTCTTCCCTTCACTAGAAGTGCAAGGATTAGAAAGATGTGAATAAAGAGGGAAAATTGTGGTTGAGTCGATATAAAGGCGAAAGCGAAGGGAGGCGGAAAAAATTGGACACTGTAATAAAACAATAAAAGTAGAAGACAATATTGCAGAGAAAGAGAGAGTAATTCTTATTGAATTTTGGGATGATTTACAATGGGGTAAGACCCCTCTATTTATAGGGGAAAAATGACTTAGCCACAAAGTAAAACTCTCTAAAAGATATCACTCTAATTAAATGCATACTCAATAAGTAATGTGCCTCGTTAAAACCTTAACTAAAATAAAACCCAATGGGAAAAAAATCTAGTAAAGGAAAAAGAGTACACATATCTAACAATACGCCTTTTGGTTGCCTCGTTAAAAACCTTGCAAGGAAAACCCAGTGGGACAAAACCTTGTAAGGAAAAAAAGTGCGACGCGTATTAAACTTCCCCTGACGAGAGCATCATTTCACATCCTTGAGCCTTTCCATCCCAATCTTGTGCACTAGCTTCTTGAAGGTTGATGTCGGTAGAGATTTAGTGAACAAATCCGCCATATTATCACTTGAACGAATTTGTTGCACATTAATATCACCATTCTTTTGAAGATCTTGTGTGAAAAATAACTTTGGTGAAATGTGCTTTGTCCTATCTCCTTTTATGAATCCTCCCTTCAATTGGGCTATGCATGCTGCATTGTCTTCATACAAAATCGTGGGTAGTTTGTCACATTTCAAACCACATTTTTCTCGAATAAGATGTATTATAGACCTCAACCACACACATTCTCGACTTGCTTCATGAATAGCAATTATCTTAGCATGATTAGATGAAGTAGCCACAATTGATTGCTTAGTCGATCACCAAGATATGGTAGTGCCTCCACAGGTAAACACATAACCTGTTTGAGATCGAGCCTTGTGTGGGTCAGATAAATACCCAGCATCAGCATAACTAACAAGATCGAGACTGCAATTATTGCCATAAAATAAGCCCATATCGGTAGTCCCTTTTAGATACCGCAATATATGTTTGATTCCATTCCAATGTCTCCTTGTGGGAGCATAGCTATATCTTGCTAAGACATTAACTGAAAAAGTTATGTCAGGCCTTGTAGTATTAGCAAGATACATTAGTGCACCAATTGCACTAAGATATGGTGCTTCAGGACCAAGTAGCTCTTCATTCTCTTCTTGAGGTCGGAATGAATCCTTATTCACATCAAGTGATCGAACAACCATCGGAGTACTTAATGGATGTTCTCCATCCATGTAAAACCGTTTCAATACCTTTTCTATGTAGGCAGATTGATGAACAAAAATTCCGTTTGCCAAATGTTCAATTTGCAAACCAAGACATAATTTTGTCTTTCCGAGATCTTTCATCTCGAATTCCTACTTTAAATAATAAATTGCCTTTGGAGTTCTAATAAGGTTTATGTCATCAACATATACGGCAAGTACAACAAATTCCGATGTTGTTTTCTTTATAAAAACACATGGACAAATGGCATCATTTTTTATAACCTTCCTTTAATAATTACCCACTAAGGAGATTTTACCACATTCGTCCTGATTGCTTTAGACCATACAAAGATCCCGATTGCTTTAGATCATACAAAAATCTTTGCAATTTGATTGAAAACATTTCCCGGGACTTTGAATTATGTGCATTAGGCATTTTAAATCCATCGGGAATTTCATGTATATCTCATTATCAAGTGAGCCATAAATGTAGGCGGTAACCACATCCATTAAATGCATGTCAAGCTTTTCATAGACAGCAAAACTAATGAGATAACGGAACGCTATAGCATCCATAACGGGTGAATATGTCTCTTCATAATCGACACCATGCCTTTCTGAAAATCCCTGTGCAACAAGGCGTCCCTTGTATCTTTGTACCATATTTTTCTCATTCCTCTTGCGTAACAAACGACCCATTTATAGCCAACAGGTATTAACACCATTAGGTTGTTGGACAACACGACCCCAAAACTTCACGTTTTGCAAGTGAATTCAACTCTGATTGGATTGCTTCTTGCCATTTTGGCCAATCACGTCTTTGTCGACATTCTCCAACAGATTGAGGTTCAAGATCCTCACTATCTTGCATAATGCTAGATGCAATATTATATGCAAAGACATAATCCACCATTATATCNGGCATTTCTTTCTGTAGACGGTCTAATTATGAATCCACCTGTACATATCACCATAGTTAAACCCTTTGAGCCTAAAGCTTGTTTCTTGATAACCTTGTAATAACCTACATCCATGTGTTGAATAGCTTGACTGTTTGACCCTTTGCCTCCTAGAAGCACTTGAATTGTTAAAGCTCATGTAAAAGTCAAAGTGTGGGGTGATAAGGGAGTAGAAAAAGGGAATCAGGAAAATACTTGAATGGTGCAATAGTAGTTTAAAAAAAATGTATATATTGAAATATAGAAGAAGGACCTTGCAAATAGGTGGTCCTAAAGTAGTGAATGGCAAGAATAGCCAGTTGCACCTAGAAAAGCGGGGGTAGCTTATGAAACAAGTGTGGAAGGATGACTGGGCTGAACATGGAAATCGAAATAAAGTAAGAATGTATTAAAAGTGCTTAGGGAGGTTAGTCACTATATCCAAATATATCCTACCCTTCCCTTAGCCTACATTACAACCAAATAAAGACCTCTTGATCTTAGACTAAAATAACTCGATTAGTAGAGTATTACACTAAGGGCAAGCTTATGGTGTATCTGTGTGGCATATGAATGTTCTTTGCTGAGAGTGAGTGAATTATTTCTATCTAAAGTTCGTTGTGCTTGATTCTATATGTGTGGAACTTCTCTCAATTTATTGATGTGAGGGCATGTGACTCAGGAAGCAACAACAAGTTTTTACCTCTGTAGAGTAACTAGGGTGAGCATGTGTGTGGCATGGCATTAGAGTCTGCATCTGAGGTGTGACAGTTGCACTACTTAGGTTGTTCTTTCATAATGGCGGGTGTGATATAAAAATTGAGTAACTCGTTGAGCGATTCGGCCTAGAAGTGTGGTTTAAATTGCTCGAGGACGAGCAAAGCTTTAAGTGTGGGGTGTTGATAATAGGTGAATTGAACTATGATTAAGCCCCAAAAGAACCACTTTCTTGTAGAGTTTTTATTGTAAAAGTGATAGCAAAATGCTCTTATTAGTGCTTTTCATGTTTTTCAGGTTACATACTTTAGAAGAAGGCTATGGAGTGGTTTTGTAAAATTTATGGAAGAAAAAGAAGTCAATCGCATCAAAGTCGCCGAGTGAACCATTTGAAATACACAAACGAGACCTGGAGGTGAACTGCCGCGGTCCCAGCGTGGGCGCGGTAGGACCGCAGTGAGCTGTTAGAGGAGATTCAGAGAGGCCATTTGGCCGCGATCCCAGCTTGGGCGCGGTAGGACCGCGGCAGGCGACGAGAAATTGAAGGACTGAAGTGCAAATTCTGGAATTCTTAGCCCAAAATCCTATTTAAACAATAGAACTCGCCCAAGGGAGGCATGTAACATTATTGGAGAGTACTTTGGCAAGAAAAACAAGTGTGATAGATCACCCAAAACATCATTATTTCTATTCTTCTTTATTTTCTTGCAATTTATGATTATGAATATTTTAGTATTTGATTTACCCATTGTCATGAGTAGCTAAAAACCTTAACCTAAGGTTTTGGTGGAACCCGTTGGGAATAACTTGGTTGTTTTATCAATATAATTAGATTTGATTGTTAATCTCTAATTGTTCATCTATGTTTTGATCGTGGAATAGTTGAAAGGGCCCTCAATTATCCGTTCCTATTTATTATGTATCTTCTTGAGAGAGAGTGCATATTTAGGTGATTGTATGAACAACATCACTCCCAGAGTATAGACGAGAGTCATAACCGAGGGTTTAGGGGTTGGATTAGAGATAACGAAACCCCGGGTGCAATCTAAGTGAACCGTATTGTGCAAGTAGCTAGCGTAGCTTGAGAAAGTGCGACTGTTTGGGTATTAATTTGTGATGACCCCATAGGTCATCTTATGTTTTAGAACTCAATTCTGTGCTTTGAAGCTTTAAATACCTCATTTTAACCCTCTCGATTTGCGTGCGCAGTACGGGCGTATTTCCGGNTTTATTTCTACTGTTTACACATCAAGTTTAGTTAATTTTCAGCTGTTAATTACTTTCAATCTTTATTTGTTAGAAAAATCAACCATTGTGAATCAAAAAGTTTGGGAAAACAGATTGTGTGGATTTAGTAAATCTGACAGTAGTGATTGATAGGTTAGTTCCCTGTGGTTCGACTCTGGGCAATAATACTCAGATTATATTTGCAACGCCCGCATAGTCTTTTGTGAGACTTAGTTGAGCGTGATCACAAATCAATATCATATTTATTTTAATTCATGAAACTGCTTAAAACGATCTAGTGAGAAAAACTCACTGCTAAGCAGTGAATCATGCTATTTTTCGGCATTTTGAGGTCGTTTAGATGGGTTTTCAAGCAGTTTATTAAATTGAATCTGTTACAAATATAAAAAATTATTCTTTATATATCGTCTATATTTGTGTTAAATCTGAAACATGATGGTTTAACTTGATATGCTATATANATAATTAACCCACTAAGGAGATTTTACCACATTCGCCTGATTGCTTTAGACCATACAAAGATCCCGATTGCTTTAGATCATACAAAA